GGGGAGGAAGGTTGGCTGCGGGTGTAGAAGCTGCTCTGAGCCTGCTGCTGTCCCTGGGTGGCTTGTTCCACTGGTCACGCTTGGCCCAGAAGCTTGTGCTGCTCCTGAGTCTTTTTGTGAATAAGTTCAATTTTCAAAGCTTCCCCCACAGGAAGTGAGGCTGAGTGAGTTGGGGCAGGGTGCTTTGTCACACCGTTTCTCTCGGGGGAAGTTTGGGTTGGAAGGGACCTTCAAGACCGTCTAGTTCCAACCCCGCTGCCATGGGCAGGGACACCCTCCACTACACCAGGTTGCCCAAAGCCCCATCCAACCTGGCCTTGAGCACTGCCAGGGATGGGGCAGCCACAGCTTCTCTGGGCAGCCTGTGCCAGTGGCTCAGCACCCTCAGAGGGAAGAATTTCTTATTGAGATCTAATTGAAATCTCCCCTCTTTTGGTTTAAATCCATTGCCCTGTGTCCTGTCACTACACAGCCTTGTCCAAAGCCCCTCTCCAGCTTTCTTGTAGCCCCTTTAGGTACTGGAAGGTCTCCCCAGAGCCTTCTCTTCTCCAGGCTGAACAGCCCCACCTCTCTCAGCCTGTCTCCATAGCAGAGGTGCTCCAGCCCTCGCATCATCTTCGTGGCCTCCTCTGGCCCCGCTCCAACAGCTCCGTGTCCTTCTGATGTTGGGCACCCCAGAGCTGAACGCAGCACTGCAGGGGGGTCTCACGAGAGCAGAGCAGAGGGGCAGAATCCCCTCCCTCGACCAGCTGCCCACGCTGCTTTGGATGCAGCCCAGGACACGGGTGGCTTTCTGGGCTGCCAGCACACGGTGCCGGCTCATGGTGAGCTTCTCCTCAACCCACGCCCCGAGTCCTTCTCCTCAGGGCTGCTCTCGATAATGGCGGTGTTCGTCAAGGCTTGCCATTTTTAAGGGCTCCTCAAGGCTCTGGAGTAACCAGGTGTCTGGCTTGCTGCTTAACCTTAGGTGTAACACCAACTTGCGTAGGTCAGTCTTGGCTGTCATGGCCTTTTCGTCTAGTGGAGAAGTGGTTTTGGTGTTTTTTCTGTTTCGCATCGCCACGTTGGCCGTGCCCCAGCATCTGCCTGCCACGCAGAGCTGTCAGGGCCAAGCTGCTCACGTTGAGCATCCTCTGCCTCTGTGCTGGTGTCACCTAATGCTCTGCTGGGCACCTCCCGTGCCTCTGCTCCAGAGGCCCCGGCTCTCCTGCACTGCCTCTTCTGCCGGGGTCTCCCAGCTCTCATGTTCTTTTTCCAACTCTTACTGGTTTAGGTAATACCTGTTTTCTGCAGCATTGCATCAGCGCTTACAGTTGTGGTGGGGCTGGAGGTGGTTCATCCGAGAGACCTGCAGACAGTTATGACACAAGTGCAGGTACTGGTTTTAGCAGACTGACATCCAGGTTCCCCTGTCAGCAGATAGGTTTCAAACTGCTGCAACTGTCAGGTTGTTATTCCCTGCCTGGCAAGAAGAAAGGTGCTTCCATAAAAACTGACGGCTTTGTAACCCGGTTTTATCTCATAGAGGGCAGGTGGAATGGTTTGTTGCCGTTTGCGAGCGTGCTGTGTTTCGGCACAAACCCCTGAGAGCATGCTGTGGAATTGGAAGCCAGCAGGATGATGTCCTGCTTCTCCAGGCTCAACAGCTCCAGTCTGCAACCTGATTTTTCAAATGGCATCGCTGGTTAAACCCTCGGTTTATGTCAGCTTGTTGCTAGCCCTGTTCCATCAGGCAGGAAGAGAAAGAAGGATTTTCAGCCCTTGCAGAGAAGTTCCCTGCTGAGGTTGGGTGCCCGTCGCAGGTCATCCCTCCGGGCATGCTGAGGGTGCTGGGAGACACGGCGCTGAGAGCTGCGTCGGTGAAAAGCAAAATCATTTTTGGGTTGTTGAGAGGCGAGCTGGTTCGCCCGGAGAATTTTTTGCATCTCGGTGGGTTATATTTAAGCAGCAGCCATCCCTGCGAGAAGGGAGGAACTGGGATTAGTGCGAAAACCCACGTCGCCCTCCTGCGTGTCCGTCTGCCTCGCTTCCGAAATCCTGAAATGCGCTCGCTTGGCGTCTGTGGCTCTGACAGCTTGTTTGGGCTGTGGGCAGGGGCTGGCACCCTGTGCTGTGACTCCAGAAAAAGCAAACAATAGAAGGCGAAGCAAATGTGCTCTAATGCTGCCACCTATCTATAGGTAGCTATAAGTGCTCGCTGATGAGCTTTATATTTATTTTTTTTAACACACTATAGTAGGTCAGATTCAGTTCAGAGATGATTGTCCAGTGCTGAATTGCAGGAATAGTTTTGGTAGGGCTGAGCCTGCCCTGGGGCGTGGGGCGATGGGTTTTGTCTGTCCCGTCCCTCGTCTCTGCCAGCTGCAGCAGCCGCCTCTTGCGGAGCGTAAACCTGCTCTGACTCCGCAGCTGGAATTCCAGTGCGATCCCTGGGGGTCTGTTCCTCATCCCGTGGCACTTTCCTGAGGATGCTTGCAACAGAAGGGTTGTGTAACTAAGCAGGCAAGAAGCAAACATTTTTTTCCTGCAATGCTGACTTGGGCCGCTTTAACCTTTGCCAGGACCAAACTGCTCTTGCCCAGTTAAATGGCATCTGGAAGGAGGTTCTAAACATATTGTGAAAATTAATTGCCAGCGTTTCTAAAGAAATACAAAAATGGGCATCAGAGTAGCTGCATGCTGTCCCTCCGAGAGACGAGCGTCATTTGAAAAGACAGCAGCTTGTTGGGATGGAATTTGGGCTGCAAGGCAGGTTTTTTTGAATCTTTCTCGGGCAGTGTCTGGCACGAGTGGATCGCTGGACGCAGTGATAATGGGTTGTTTGCGGCGTAAGTAGCCACTGGTTCTGTACTGGGAAGGATGTTGCGCACAGATCAGCCAGAGGTTTACTGGTGGCTGGGAACGATTCCCTCCCTGTTCCTCTCTTCCTGTTTGTATTGAGAAGCGACAACTCGGAACTCTGCCGTGGCACGGCGCAGGATGCAGGAAGCAGACGAGGAACGCGCTCTTCAGAGGGGATGGCCCTTGGCTGACTGTCCTTCCTTTCCTGTTTCCAGGTGTGGCAGATTCCCGAGAACGGACTCACCCTGTCCCTGACGGAGCCGGTGGTAGTGTTAGAAGGCCATTCCAAGAGAGTCGGCATTGTGGCTTGGCATCCGACGGCACGCAACGTGCTGCTCAGCGCAGGTACGGTGCGTCGGGGCTGTGGGCTCAGCCAGCGTCTCTCCCGTGGGTTTCGCTTGCACACCAGCTGTTCTGGAGAAGAGCTCGTTGGCTCCTTTTCCTTCTTTTGCTCTCCCAGCTGCTTAGGGCTGGCGAATCACAAGACTAATGGCAGTGCCTGGGAATACTGGGGCACGTGGTTCACAGCCCTCTCCTTATCTTGGCCTTTTATTATCTTCAGTTTGCAGGGACGCGAACCAGGAAATTGTCTGGAGGCATGGATTACAGTATTAAAATTGTTCCAGACTTTACTTGATCTGCAAGTTTCATCCGCTGATAACTGTTTACACCTGCACTCTCCTCACCCCTGTTTTCATATACTTTTATAAAAGGCCCAACTTTTTCTCCTTTCCATTGATCCCTGCACGATATCCTAGAGTTTGGCTGTTCCTTCCCAATGGTTCCATTCTCAGCGTTTTCAAAATTGTCTCCTTGACCGGATCGGTCTATGCAATGAGATTGTTTTGACCCCTGAAAAACGGTCACATCATTATGGAAATGAAATGGATAAGTCATTACCCATTAGCACAGTCTGAGGCTTTCATAGCGTGACCTTCCAATTGGAGCCCCATAAAAGAAGTAAATCCTTTCAGCTGGACTGGCAGATGAGCTGTGTGTTTTCTGGGAATATAAATGCCTTCCGAGGTACCAGTTTGGTTTTGGTCCAGTTTCCCCAAAAATACTTGGACTTGCAGACCTGGTGGCAGTTAATGTCATGAAACGCAGTGTGAGAACTAGTGAACTAGATGATCTTTAAGGTCCCTTCCAACCCAAACCCTTCTATGATTCTCTGAGAACATACAGAAGAGACTGGTTTTCCTTCAGTAGCTTCCTCAGACTCCTGTACTCACAAGCAGCAGGATGTGAGTGTCCAGGCAGTCCAGCCAGGGTTACTCCTAAGAAACACAGAGGAGAAGGGATGCTGTGAGGTCATTGCAGTCTCCAGGATTCCTCCTGGTGACAACAAACTGATTTTGGACATCTTTCATCTTTGGGAGTTTGGAGTGATTGCTATCTTTTGCATCATTACATATTTTCACCCCTCTGGAGCCTTGGGAGGCGTTGCTCGGTCACACATTGTGCTTTTCTTCCGTTACCTGGGCCTCCAGTCCTGTTCTTTATTTTGCTGTCATCCTATCTTAGGCTTTATTCTTTGTCTTCTTGCTGTCTGGTCCTTGAACAAAACCACCCGCCTGATGGTTGTAGTCCTTGCGAAACTGCTGACCTCAGCTTTTGCTGCCTGCCATTCTTTTTTTCCCTTTCTTCTGCTCCTTCTCCTGCTGTCACTTGCCTGTTTTCCATCCATGCCACTTTTACTCTTTCTGCTGCAAATCTCCTGACCTGCAAAGGCGATGACTGGCTGCCAGCCAGTCTTCTCATGTATAAAGTTGTAAGAACATCTCCTCTTTGCCCTTGGCATCTCTTGCTCAGTAGCCCTGCAGTTGAGCCAAGACCCGAGAGCTCCTGCACAAAGCTCCTGCAGTAGCAGTGACCAGGGCGAGCTTTCACACACCTCCTTCAGCTGCACCACTACCTCCTGCTTTTCCCTTCAGCTTCCTCTGCCAGGGACCTCTTCTGTCCCTCCTGCCCACCCCATGCATGCAGGCAGCACCTTGGCTGGGGTGGTGGCCAGCAATGGGAGCAGTGCCCAAATCATGGAATCATAGAGTGGATTGGGTTGGAAGGGACCTTCAAGATCATCTAGTTCCAACCCCCCTGCCATGGGAAGGGACACCGTCCACTGCACCAGGTTGCTCAAAACCTCGTCCAGCCTGGCCTCGAATGCTTCCAGGGATGAGACATTCCCAACTTCTCTGGGCAACCTGTTCCACTGCCTCACCACCCTCAGAGGGAAAAAATATTCCCAAATAAACTGCCAAATAAACTTTGGGAGAGCTCCGGCACCCCTGAGGAGGTGCTCAGCAATTCCAAGGGCAGAGTTTCATGCCTTCCCTGGCACCTTGGTCCCTGCTCTGGGCCTGTATTTGAGTGAGGATGTGCTGCCTGGGGCTCTGCGTACGTGACGGTGCACAGAGCGTGTTAGGAGTCAGCATCTGAGGCTTTGGAGCTGCAGCAGATTTTATTTCTTGTTCCCTGCTGCTGTTTTTTTTTTCCTGTGTACACCAGTGTTGTGACTTTAGCTGGTTTTTTTCTCTTTTAGGTTGTGATAATGCAATCATCATCTGGAATGTGGGAACAGGTGAAGCCCTCATAAACTTGGATGACATGCACGTGGATATGATTTACAACGTGAGCTGGAATCGCAATGGCAGCCTAATCTGTACAGCTTCCAAAGACAAAAAAGTTCGAGTTATTGACCCCAGGAAACAAGAAATTGTTGCTGTAAGTTTGCTGATAATCAAAGAAGCAACAGGGTTTTAATGCAGCAGAGAGTTAGCAAGAGTATGTAGAGAAAGAACCTTTTTCCTTAGTGTGTACCATATTTAGTTGTGTTTTTCAAAGTGAGGGGAAAAATCACAGGAGGAATAGCAGTGGTTGAAGGATTTGTCTGGGTTTATTGGGATTAGTGTTTGAACCAGGATTTTAGGGCTCAGTTTTAAAACCTGCAGGAGTGTAATTCCACATCTAATCCCTGTGTATAATTACAGTTCCAAAGTTGTGCAGTGGAGACTTAGCAGCGTGCACATGTGTCGTAGCTTGCAAAGAAGGTCTTCCTTCAACCTTGCAAGAGTCTGATAGGCAAAGCTGAAAGGAGCCAGGAGTGACCACTTCTTTTGTAGTTTAGTAATTGGTTCCTTCCCTCGAGCACCGAACAAAGACAGTTGGATGTTTCTCCATGCAGTCAGCATCCTGCGTGGAGGAGCAGTGTGTGCTGCCAGGGATTCGGTGCAGCCAGAAGAGAAGCCACCACCAGGTGGGCTTCCTGCTCCTTGCCAGAGGCTAACCTGCAAATCTCTTTCAGGAGAAAGAGAAAACCCACGAGGGAGCCCGGCCCATGCGCGCCATTTTCCTTGCTGATGGAAACATCTTCACAACTGGCTTCAGCCGCATGAGTGAACGGCAGCTTGCCCTTTGGAATCCAGTAGGTTCCTGTCCCGTTACTTCTTGGTGTTGTAACGTCCGTTGAGTTCCTAGCCCAGACCTGCTCGCTGTGTTCGTATACTTGAGCGTGTTCCCTCCTCCATCTGCTGCCTGCTCCTGCTCAGGCTTCCTGTGCTGGAAGGTATTGCTGTTGTTTAGGCTGGATGGTCGCTCAGTGAAGAAAGTGGGTTTTCTTTATCGATGCCCACCTTACCGAGCGCAGTGATGAAGCTGGCGGCTGCACGAAGGGTCTGAGAAGATGTGCACAGAGGAGAGTGGCTGTGTGAAGGCTCTGTGTGCAGAGCAAGGCAGCAGCAATCCCATCACGCTGGCACAGGACACTCGCTAATGTGACTGTGTCACATCTTTCCCTGGACTTTGTGAATTTTCTTGGGTCCCGTTTTTGGTGCATTTAGTGCTTATAACGTCCTTGGGGAGTGACTGAGCTTGTGAACATTTACAGCATTTGTTATTGTAACATAGCGCCTTCGGGGTGGTGAAGACACCACTGCGAAGAACTGTTAATAATTTAGATCTTATGTTAACATGAGCTTTTCCATTCTTCATTAACATCACTGACTTTTTTTTATTTCCAGAAAAACATGGAGGAGCCAATAGCCCTTCATGAGATGGACACCAGCAACGGGGTCCTGCTGCCATTCTACGACCCAGATACCAACATTATTTACTTGTGTGGCAAGGTAAAGAGAAGCTTTTGGAAAGACTGGGCTTGGTTAGAGGGAGGCTTCTGTTGAATGAATGATGCCAGTGAAATGTTCGCCAAGGGTCTCGATTGAGAAAGGTAGAACCAAAAGGCAGCACTGCAGCGATGGTCAGGGCTGTGGAGAGATCAGGCTGCTCTGAAACTGGTTTGATCCTCATGTGCAGGACCATACAGAGAGCCTGTGAAGTCTGCAGTGTGGAGGTCTGTTATGCAATTGGATGTTTCTTTGGGATGGATTTGCTTAGCTAAAGCTGCTCTGAACGCAACAAGTCAGACACCATCATCAAAGCATCTCTTGTTGGTGTTGACCCGAAGGATCGTACATTAGTGTGTGTGGAAGGTACCTTTGAGACGTTATCCTCCTTGTGCTTGAAGATGATGGAGCTTGTAGCCACTCTCACTGTAATTTTGGGGTGTTAAATAGTAGAAAACTGGAATCACATGCTTCTTGCTAAAAGCAATTTGTAGGCATTAAGTGCTCCAAAGCTTCTGAATGCCGCAGCTTTGGACTTCCTGCAAATGGGAGCCAAAGATAAGATGAACCATTCCAAAAGAGGATCCATACAAATACATTTAAGAATCCGATCTTTGTAAATCGCCTGTAGTAGAATTGCCTGGAATCAGAAAGAGAAGCTGATTTATAGTCTTTGGGCCTGATTGTGGCACAAAGTTTAGCTTTTTCGCAAGAGGGAACGCAGAATTTGACACCCCCAGTCTTGAGGCACGAGCTCAGGTCACAGTGCCGCGGTGTTTTGCAGGACAGCACTTCTCCCTGAGAAACTGTTGGGTCCTGTACTCGGATTGCAGCCGGGATCTGCTTTCGGGCAGTTCCGCTCATGCCGTGCGGATCGCGCGGCCGCGGTGGCGTGCTGTCTGGCAGCGACTGCTGCCCGCGCGATGGGCAAGCGGTGGAAGTTTTAGCCTGAAAAAAACAT